CATGTCTTTCCCAACCACTTGACAACCTTTTCCACAACCATAACAACCAAATCCAACAACATTAATGTCAATTTATGATAATACGAACATCCCAAAATAATAATAATAGATAGCATTTGTATAGCGCATATCCCCGCTCAACAGCAGGCTCTATGCGCTTTACACTATATTATTACCCCAGCAGACCATAGAACACTCCGAAACATTCTCAGCTTCCCGGGAAGCATACAGTGCGAGCAGCCGATTAAGCGCTCAAACACTAACAAACTGACAAGATCTTTCGCTGTCTATATAAACGAAAAGAGAAATTAAAACAAAAGCCCACTCACTTTGAAAGAGGGTCTGCTCATTGGTATCATCAATAACGGACTTCATAACTGTGTGCACGTCGGAGCCAGATACAATGTCGTAGAAGTTGCCCAGAGGAGGCATCATCACGGTGTCTATGAGGTGCAGATAGCCGTTAGTTGCCTGGATGTTTGCCTTGAGCACTTTGGCGCCGTTCAGAGTTATGAATAGTGGACCCTGGTGAGCAGGATGAAATCATACATTGGAAATAAAAGGACATTTAAAAAAAACCAATTTACAAAACAAAAACAAAACAAGAATAAAATGAGCTTGAATATATATTTTTGGCACGTCGTTCAACTGTTCAAAGCCCGGAAAGCAGTAATTTTCCGTAGAGAGAAAAACTATCTGGCCCTTTTACCAATAATTTCACGGTGCTGTACCTTTTCCTGCTTTTTTCACACTTAGGATCTGAATTTTAACATATTATTATGTCCCTAGCACATGCAACCGATAAAAGAATTTTTTTTATTGTATTTTTAAAAATGTGGGCTAGGTACATCTGAACAGCTAGCCGACGAAGCGTTGTACGCCCACACCACCCTCATTCCCTAATCGGCAGACTCAATGTAGATCTTTCTTGAGAATGGCTGCTTCGACTTTGTCAGGATTAGCCAGGGGGGAGAGGTATATAACATCCCAGTAAGCATAGGGGTCATTTGACGCGTATATCATTACTTCTCTACTGGGGAACCAAACTCCAGGTTGTCCGCGCACAACATCGAAGAGCCTAATATTATGCTAAAAACGCATGCCGAAACCAAACAAAGGGTTTTAATTGCGAGAATAGATAACAGGAATATCTATAAAGTCTTCTTTCTTTGGGATATTTGTTCAACTGTTAGATCTTAATGATATTATGTATTACACATTATACGTTGAGTGTCCTGGCAACAGCAGATCTCCAACATGTACGGATTAGGACGGCTTCTCAATTGTAAGGAGTGGATGAATGAATGAAAGGACAAGAAAAAACAATTAGAAAATGGTTTTCGTTAAAAGCAGAAACCGCTGATGGGACTGCGGAAAGGAGGATTAAAAGAGTGTAAATTACGGATGAGAGAGTGAAAGAATGAACAAGTTCACGAATAAAAGAGTAAAATCAGTGCCTGGCTTCCTGCCTGGGCGTCGTTGTAGACGTTGACCCGAATCTTGGATCCGCTGAGTGTCGACTCCAGCATCATGTTGTCCGAGGCGTCTTGGGACCTGCAGACGTTGGAAAGGGTCAGAAAAAATAAAGGATCTTAGTCAAATATATTTTAAAAAACAAAGGAAAGAAAAGAAAAAAAAGAACAGTTCTCAGTGCGATGGACAACGTCAGGGGAGACAACACAACATAACATTTGGATGACATGGCTGGATGGCTTTAAATCAAGAGTTATGGTTTCTACAAATTACCCAAAATCGGAAGTTAATTGTTCTAAATTAAGTCCTGCTGTTGTGTTCGGTATTTTTAA